AGAGCTCCCTGCCTTCCCATTATTTCCCTCTTCCCATTCCCTTCCTTCCCCCCTCCCCCCCATCCCCTTCTCCCTTACTTCCTTTTCAAGTTTCACTTTCACTTCTCAGTTCCCTTTTTTAACCACTTTCTCTTGGCTCTGGAACCTGTCCTGTGGCCTACATTTCCCAATGTATCCCTCCCCCTGTCCCTTTCAGGAAGCCATCCCTTATAAACATAATATAAAAAGGACGGGGGAAATCAGTTCCTAAAAACTAGACAACACATTGGGGGGAAAAAATGATGTTGTCTATAGTATTCCACACCTACAGTCCCCTACCTGTGCAAAGAAGGGAGAAAGGTATGTTTTTATGTCTCTTCTTTGGGTTAGGGCCCTTGTTTTGTTGAAGTGGGTTGAATTTATAAATCATAATCTTCCTAGTAGAAGCTGTTAGATGCCTGGATTTGGTGGCGCCATCTGTCTTTTCCACGCTGGGAACCAGAAGGATTTGAGGGTCCTAGCATAGCCTGTAGGTATATTTTTACTCCACTACCATTTTGTTTCAGAGCAGAGTAGAACCCTGAGCCCTAAGGTGTCCTGAAATTCATTCTCCTCTGAATAAAGCATTTTTAATGGTATTACCATAGCAACATCATAATTGCCAAACCCATCAGGCAAGGAAAAAGACTTGATGAGTAAAGGGAAAGAGAAATTTCAGGGTGCTGATTCTCAAGCACAAGATTGTTTCTCAAATGGTTTGGTTGATCCTAGAAACTCTAACCTAAAGTCTTTGGGGTATAACTGAATGAAAACTCAGCCTGGTCTATTTTCTGCTGCAACTCAATTTCCCTATCCTAGAGAAAAAGACTTCTCTAAGTGGGCTAATATGGTTCCCAAGTAGAGTAAAGTCTAAATCAGTGTGGAGTCCTGAAGTAGCATCAGGAAACAGTACCAAATAGAGTAAATCATTACTTTTTTATATTGATGGTGATGTTTCTCCAGCATGGCCATGCCTGTCTGTAATTGAGCCCCATGAAAGTACTGTCTTAGCAAAGAAAATAATATTAATAATACATCCACGAAAACCATTGTTTACAAACTTTCTTGTCCATCTCTTCAGATAACCCTACCCACTTGGGTTAGAGCCAGGAGGAGGATGAAGGCACAAAATGGCCTTCCCACCTGAACTCTTGGAGTTAGGAAAGGGAGGTTTATTGAACATGATGTCTGCCCAGACCAGTAGCTTGTTTTTAACACATGATTATTTGTAAACATTGGACCCCTGCAAAAGAGGGCCTACTCAGATCCATAACCTCATAGTAAGTTGTTGCGTTCTCTCCTTTCTCTTTCCCCCATTCCCTCCCAGGGTTTACAACACAGCATTGTGAGGCAGGAGGTGCAAAGACTTTAAGCAAAAGAACAAGCCTTCGGATGTGCCCCCTGGCAGAGAGATGAAGGGGTGAGTTAAGGGTGGAATAGGAGGGGAGGTCCATGTAAGGCCTAACCTGGAGTGTAGGCTCCTGAATCTTAATCCCAGCTGTGCTGTGCTGAAAATGCCATTGAATGTGAGTGCCAGGAGGTACCAGGGCCTGAGCTTCCTGCTCACTGCTTCTCCCCCATGTTTTTCCATCTTGCTCCCCCCACAATAGGCAGCAAAAAGCAGCTGAGACAGAGGAGGGGACTGTGCAGATCCAGGAAGGTAAGTGGTGGGTCAGAGGATCAGAAATGGGAACAACATTCCCCCCAAGCCATCATTCTCTGCGTGGCGTGAATGGCAGGAGTGGCTCAGAGAGTTTATGAAGCCTTCTTCTGCTACTCCCAATGTCTCAGGTGCAGTGGCAACTGGTGAAGATCCAACCAGTGTGGCCATCGCCAGCATCCAGTCAGCTGCCACCTTCCCTGACCCCAACGTCAAGTACGTCTTCCGCACTGAGAATGGGGGCCAGGTAAGGGGGGGCCCCCAAGGAACCTCAGAAATGCCATGGGATCTGGGTTGAGGGAGGCATTTAAACATGGGTTGGGGAAACCTTATGTGGGTAAGGTAATGTTGGTATACCGAAATGAAGGAAATTCTGGTTTGAGGAAAACCAAACTTCCTAAGCTGTGAGCTGCTCGTTATGACTAGTTTGTGTAGAAGAGGTAAAGGAAATGGAGCTTCCTCATTTGTTTCTCTGAGGACCCCCTGCTCCCTTGGCCTCTTTCAGGAACTCCCTGAGGTTCATACTAGTTGCTTTTTTTTCCTCTGTCTTTCCCCTCCTCGTAGGTGATGTATAGAGTGATCCAGGTGGCTGAGGGGCAGCTGGATGGCCAGACTGAAGGCACTGGTGCCATCAGCGGCTACCCTGCCGCCCAGTCTATGACCCAGGTATGAAGGAATATGAGAAAGGTGAGATGGGGATTGACCAGTAAGATGGGATAGGAGTCCAGGGGAGGGGTCTTAGATTCAAAGAGGAGCAGGGAGGGGGGGCTAGGGTTACTCAAGTCCTTAGGTAACAAGGGTACCCCCTCCCTAGAGTGTACACCTCTGAGGTGTTGGAACCATAAGAATTGTGTGGCAGAGGGAGAGAGATGGGATTGAAATCTCCGCTTTTAACCCTTTCCTAGGCAGTCATCCAGGGGGCATTCACCAGTGAAGATGCAGTGGAGACGGAAGGAGCAGCCACAGAAACACACTACACTTACTTCCCCAGTACAGCAGTCGGGGAAGGGGCTGGGGGTGCGGGTGCTGGGAGCACAGCTACTGTTGTCACCACCCAAGGCTCAGAGGCACTATTGGGACAAGCTACTCCTCCTGGAACTGGTGAGATATGAAACATCATCCTAATGGTTGGTGAGCAGGAGAGGGTACTAGCATGCACCCCTGGAAGGTATGGGAGATTGAAGAGGTGATTGTGGGTTTGGGGCACATGATGAGGTGGTAGAGCATATCTATTGATCCAGCCATGTGAGGGAAGGAGGTTTTACCTTTTTGATAGATAACTTGATAGGGTTTTGTGGTCCTTGACCTTATATAACCCTTTCCTATATTTCTTTTCCAGGTCAGTTCTTTGTGATGATGTCACCCCAAGAAGTGCTGCAGGGGGGAACCCAGCGCTCTATTGCTCCCAGGACGCATCCCTATTCCCCGTGAGTGACCCTTGCCTCTCCTCATTTCTCGTGAGTTACCCCAATGCCCACATCCCCCCACTTTCCATGTGTAAATCCCTCACCCCAAAATGTCTTTCCCATCTTGTGTGTTACTGTTCTCCTTTCATTGTTGTCACCCCACGATTTATCTTCAGGAAATCCGAAGCTCCTCGGACAACTCGAGATGAGAAGCGAAGAGCTCAGCACAATGAAGGTACTTGGAGTGGGCAACTCGGGTGATGAGGCTAGGGCTTGGCTGTCTGGGGGGCGAGACAGCTGTACCCTGCAGTTTCTCCTTAAATCTTTCTGCCTTCTCCAAATTTCAGTGGAGCGCCGCCGCAGAGACAAAATCAATAACTGGATTGTGCAGCTGTCAAAGATCATCCCGGACTGTTCCATGGAGAACACCAAGTCTGGCCAGGTTAGGCAAAGACCCTGCTGGATGTTCTGGGACTTTTCTCCTGGTGGTGGTAATGGAGGTGGTAGGGGTCCCTCTTTTCCTCCTAAAGCATAGGGTTAGGAGGGGAGTTTGTAATCCTACATCTAGTGTAGGTGATCCCCCTTGTACTCCAGCCTGGGTTCCAAAGCAGGGAGTAGCTCTTAGCAGACAGGACCTCACTAAGTCACCTAGAAACCAGGCTTCCTAAAGCTCACCCTTTGTTTTCTGCAGAGTAAAGGTGGCATCCTGTCCAAAGCCTGTGATTATATCCAGGAGCTTCGACAGAGCAACCATCGTTTGTCAGAGGAACTGCAGGGGCTGGATCAGCTGCAGCTGGACAACAAAGTCCTTCGACAGCAGGTCAGACATCCCTAATGACAAGTCCTCTTTGAACAATGCCCTCTCCCTCCCCTTGGTCCCCATCTGGCCCAGATTCCCAGATGCAGATACTGGAATGTTCAGGACATTCTTGTGTTGGGCTTGAGGGAACTTGGTTCTCTTGGACCTCCTTGCCATGAACAGCCAAGTGCTTCCTCATTCTACTTGGAGTTTCCCCTTTAACCTCCCTTTCTCCTGGCCAGGTGGAGGATCTGAAGAATAAAAATCTCTTGCTACGAGCTCAGTTGCGACATCATGGAGTGGAGGTTGTCATCAAAAACGATGCCAATTAAACCCTGGGGAATTTTACGTCGGGCTTGGGCACCAGAGCCCCTTCCCTAGGACTGCAGGCAGCCTGGGAGCATCGGACTTAACCTGTACCTCCTCCTCCCACTGCCCTCATGAGGAGTGGGGCAGTGAGAGTTGCTGAAGCACCTGAAGGAACTGGCCCCATGACGCCATTGGCCTTCAGCTTTGAGTGTGGCACAAAAGGACAGGCACATCCCTGCAAATAGCCTTCCTTTCCTCCCCCTTCTCCCTGGGCCCTTGTGCTTGTCTTGCACATGCATGTGCTGTTTCTACTCTGGATATCACACACTCATGGCCTATTATGTGACTACTCTGAGCATGTAGCTAGAGAGGTGGACAGATGGTAACTCTCTGGGTTGCATTTGAGAACTGGAGCCTCCCTTCTCTGACCTGTAGGGGAGGCACAATTGGAAGGAAGCTCTAAGGTTCCTGAGATTGAGTCCCCTAAGGGGACAGGCTTTAGCAGGGGTGGGGGAGCTGAGTACTGAATGTTAGTGGGAAAGGAATTTGGACAGAGGTTTAGGGCCCAGAAATCTCTGGGATGGGGGGCAAGAATAGGCAGAGGTGCTGTTCTTTGCTCTCCCCTTTCTTGGGGCTTCCCCCCCTTTATTTTCTTGGTTTTTTTTCCTTTTTTTTTTTAGAGAAAGATAAAATTGTTCAGAGCCACAGTTTGTCTCTAGTGTTCTGTGGGGTAATGGAGTGGGAGGGGGAGTGCTAGGAGTGGGGAGGAGATTGATGCGATTGGGGAGGGGTCATATGGACCCCTCCTGATGGGGAATGAGCACAGGTGCCTCCTTGCTGCTTGGGCCCAGCACTTGAGAGTAGGGAGACATATCTTGTGGGGACAGTAGGGTGGGGTGATGGAGAGGACTGGCTCTGGTGCTAGGACCTGGCTTGTTCCATTGAGGCCACAGCTCTGTGTGACCTTGGGCTGGTCACTTAACCTCAGGCCTCCGTGTCCTCCTCAGTAAAATGGGAGGGGGTGGGGCGGGATAGGCCCCAGAGCTCTTTCCCAGGCTAAGTCCTTTGCGCCAGTGACCCCTGCCCCGGGCTGGGAGCTTGCCCAGTGAGGAGGCTGCAGTGCCTTGGCTCCTGTTTCCATGGGGATGGGGGCGGAGCTTAGCCGGGCAGTGCGAATCCTGGGTGTTCTTCCGGCTCCGTCGGCCGCAGTCCGGAGCAAAGATGCTGCCGAACAGTAATGGTGTGGGCATCGAGGCCGGGCCCTTCGCCCTCCCGGAGGGGGGCCGCTACGCGATGGAAGTCCGCAACATGAGCCGAGGTAATGTGGGGAGGAGGGTCCCAAGCCTGGCCTGGCCGGGGGCGGGGCGGGGGCGAGGAGGATGCTCACGACCCCCTTTCCTCTTCCCTGGCTTCAGCCCCGGCCGTGTCTCTCCCAGAGCTTCGCTCCATCCTGGCCACCGACCGGGACCGGGTCCGGCTCATCGATGTGCGCTCTCGGGAGGAGTCCGCCGCGGGGACCATCCCCGGGGCGCTCAACATCCCGGGTACGGAGGCGGCCACGCCCGAGCTGTGCGGGTGCGGGGCGGGGGGAACGGGATGGTGTCCGCAGCAGCCACGCAATGCGGGCTGGGGGCCGAAGCTGGTGCCCGCAGCAGCCGTGCTGTGTGGGGGTGGGTGGGGGGATGGCGCCTGCAGCGGCTGTCGAGGCAGGGGGCAAGGGGCAGATGGTGCCCGCAGCAGCCGCACAATGCGGGGTGGCTGGGGGGGGGAACTGTGCCAGCAGCAGCCTTGCCGGGTGAATGAAGTTGAGGGACAATAGCATAGCAGAGCGGGGGAGAGGAGGGAAGCTACCCACCCCGCGTGTGGGGATGAAGGTGAGGGAATGGGAATCATGGTCACAAGATAAATATAAAAGGGGAAGGGGCTGCAGAGATGGATACCTGTTTGCTTCTCCCTGAGGAGGCAGTTATCTTGGAATCCATGGGAGGCAAGGCAGCTTGTGTGTCTAGACTGGTTAAAGTATAATATATGTATGTGTGTATGTGTGTGTGTGTGTGTATGAATGTGTGTGTGTGTGTGTGTGTACACATAGATTTATATTCAGGTATGTATGTGGAGAGAGAGAGAATGAGAATATGAATTTTTTTTTTTTGGAGGCCAGGGATTGCCATCAGGGCCGAATGATCTGGCCCCTCCTTGTTTAGCTGTTTCTTCTCCATTCTCTCCCCATGTCTTCTCAGTGTCAGAACTGGAGAATGCCCTTCGGATGGAGCCAGCTGATTTCCAGGCTACATACTTTGCAGAGAAGCCAAGACCAGAAGAAGAGAACCTAGTCTTCTTTTGCCAGATTGGCAGCAATGAGTGCCATGCCATGCAGACTGCCAGGGAGCTTGAATACTTGGGGTATGGGAAAAGGGTACAGGGGAAGGAGTGAAGAGCAGTGGGTCGGTGTTTTGAGATGGTATGTTTCCATACTCCCTTCCCTTTCTTACTCTTACATAATTTTCTTTCCACAGGGCTAATTATGAAGATGAGTACAGAGCATGGCAAGGAAAGGATTAGTTAGGAGGAAGGACCCCTGATACTTTCCTTCTTTCAGTAACCTTTCTGTAGATGGGTACAGTGCTGTGCCCACAAGGTAACCTAATAAAGAGTATTGAATGGAAAAACCTGCGAATGTTTAGTCTGTTATTAAGACTTGACCCATGGTCCTTGGTTCAACCCTGGTATTATTATCAAGACTGAAGAAGTAATGGCTCCAGATAGATAGATGTTGATAGAACACATCTATGTGTGCATGTCCATGTATGCATGTGTATATATATATATATATATATATGTATATATATATATATATATATATATATATATATATATATATATATATATATATATATATATATATATATATATATATATATATATATATATATATATATATGTATATACATATTTGCATATATATGCATATTTGGGGTAGAGTTATCCCCACCTCTGTTTCCCGTGTCGGGGGTGGGTGTGTGTGTGTGTGTGTGTAGCTGTTGGGCTGTTCCAATCCAACTCTTTGTGATCCCATTTTGAGATTTTCTTGGCAAAATGCTGGAATGGTTCCTGATTCTAAGCTTAATGCTTTAGCCACTATGTCACCTACCTGCTCCCCCCTTCTCTCCACATACTTATACATATATATATAGACAGATAGATAGATGTAGATATTTATTGTAGCTAGGTGGCACAGTAGATAGAGTGCTAAGCCTGGAATCGTGAAGATTCTTCTTCCTGAGTTCAAATCCGGCCTCAGCCACACTAGTTGTGTGATCCTGGGCAAGTCACTTAACCCTTTTTGCCTCAGTTTCCTCATCTGTAAAATGAGCTGGAGAAGGAAATGGCAAACCAGTCCATTATCTTTGCCAACATAACCCCAAATGGGGTCACAAATAGTTGGACACGACTGAAATGACTGAATAAAAACCAAAATAAGTATATATGTGCATATATGCACACATACCTAGACACAAACATGTCTCAAAGGTAACAGGGACTGTTACTAGGATTGGACTCCTGTGGTACCAAAATAGGCCTCAGGTTCCAGTAATGCTTTGGTAGTTCAGCAGGTATAACCCAATCTCCAAATTTTTTCCTCTTTAAACATTTCTTCCTTTTACATGTAAAAGAGAAGTCTGGGTGAGGGGTGGGGCCTCAACCATTGATTTTCCTAGACCCTTCTTTGTCTTGTGTCCCTTTTATCTCCTCTCCCTTGCGTAATAATCACATTTATATGGAGTTTTAAGATTTATACAGTGCTCCTCTCACAAAAACCCTCTTGAAAGAAGTTCTGTGCAAGGATTGTTTTCTCCTTTTTATGGGTGAGGAAACTGACACTCCAGAAAGTAGGAGTGCTTTGCCCAAAGTCACAGAAGTAATTAACTTCTGGTCTGGGACCTGAACCCTGATCTCATGACTAGAATATAACCTGTTGCTTTTTCCACCACACTGGACTCTCCTTTATTCTGGATCCTCTTCCCTCTTTTTCCTTGGTGCACTGACTTCTGGAAGCTTTCTTACACTAAGGAAGAAGGACATTCTATTTTTGTGGACCTCATTTTCTTTGTCACATAACTCTCTAGCCTCAGACTAATCACATTATATCACAAGGTCCCAGATTGAGAACTGATAGGGACCTCGGAGGCCTTTGGGTCCAACACCCTCATTTTACAGATGAGGAAACAGGTTCAGAATTGGAGCTCTGGTTTTCTAACAACATCTAGCAGACTTTCCATGGTACTATGTCATTGGCTGGCCCTTCCAGAGAGCCTAAGACTTTCCTTCATACCTGAAGACTAGCCTGCTAGTCTTAGCCTGCCCTAAGTAGAGGGTTCTTTAGGCTTGAAACAACTGTACAGAAGATGCCACAAGTTTCTAATTCCTCATTGCTGTAATGTTCTTCCTGATACCTGATATTGTCTCTTGTTAAAATCCTAGCATGTTTTCTTACTTTCTTCATTCATGACCTGCAAATACTTGCAACCCTTCTTTTTAATTACCTATGCCCCTTGAGCATGGTTGGAGAAAGTCCCAGAACCAAGGTGATTGGGCCAAAATGTTCATACTCCCTAGCTCTAATTATATCCTTGCCATTAAGATGTTACTCTTCCCTGTTTTGCCAAACAGGCTTCTTTGGCTGTTGAAAACGTTAAATCTATTCTATAAGTGTTTGGGCCCCTTTCTACCTCCCCTATGGGACAGTAATCAAAAAAATCAGCTCTGAGCTTTCCAAATATAATGCACTTCTCCATCTATCCTCATCTGTTCCAAAGTTTCCTGAGATTTCCTTCCTTCATACTTTCCAGATTAGGCCCATATCAATATATACCTGATTTTTTTGGTACCACCTTCCTAACTGGTTTTTCTGTCTCTAAGATCTTCCCATTCTCATCTATCACTGAGATCACTGCCAGGCTAATTTTCCTGTAACATGCCTTTCCTGTCACTACAGTGGGGGGATGGGAATAAACATGTATATAATGCCTATCACATACCAGGCACTGTGCTAAATGCTTTTTATGAATATCTCATTCCATCCTAACAACAATCCTGTGAGGTAGCTGCTATTATTATACAGAAAAAAAGCACGGTTCTATATTGCCTGTTGTTTCAAATAATAGCTGACTGTATACATCATTTTAATGTTTGCAAACATACCAATTGATTTTCTCTGCTGCTCTAGAATTTGTTTAGGGCCATTTTTTACAGATATTTGGAGGGGTTTGGGGGAGAGCTCAAGCAACTCAATGCTTTTACTTGGTCATCTTGGCTCTACCTTTTTTTTTCTTTTACAAATAAGAAAACAGGCTCATAGGAGGTAAGTAACTTGCACAAGGTCATACAGTTAGTGGTAAATGTTGGGGGCCAGATTTGATCCCAGGCTCCACGGCCATCACTCTTTGCATTACACCACTCAAGTCTAAATTCCTTAACCTATTATTCAAATCCAAACCCATGATTTGGCTGCAACTTCTTTTATCTACTCCCCAACATCAACCCTCTGTTCAGTGGCGTAGATTTCCTTTCTTTCCCAGTTCAATGCCCACTTTTACCTTTGTGCCTTTACACATACTGTTCCCCTTCCTTGGAACACCTCCAGCCTCCTCTCCACCACTCCAGATCCTCTATTATGTTTGCAGCTCAGTAAATAATTGTGGAACTGGATCTTGAATCTTAACAAGAAGACTTTACACTCAAAATGAGAGTGTAGGATAAAACCTCCCACATAATTCCTTCAAGCTAAATTTCGCAGAGTTGTAATTGTACAACCCAGGAGGAAAACTATTAATGAAGAAGATTAATAATTTACAGAGCTAATATATCCAAGAAAAATGGCAGCAATAAAACCCCTAGAGATGGTAGATGACCTAAAGATCTCAATGCAATTAGATAAGTTTGACCTAGGTATGACAGGAAGGATTAAGATCTACAAAGTGCCAGGTACTGTTCTAAGTGCTTTACAAATATTATCTTATTTGATAATGAGGTATGAATAAGTGAAGAAATGAAAACGCTCTGTTGTTATTCAGTTGTGTCCAATGACTCCATTTAGGGTTGTCTTGGCAAAGATACTAGAGTAGTTTACCATTTCCTTCTCCAGCTTATTTTACAGATGAGGAAACTGAGGCAAACAAGGTTAAGTGACTTGCCCAGGGTCACACAGCTATTAAGCGTCTGAGGTCTTGAACCCACAAAGATGAGTCTTCCTGACTCCAGACCTGGCACTCTATCCACTGTGCCACCTAGCTGCCCTTACTATACGCTGAAGACTTTGCTAAGTACTGGTGATAGTTACTAAAAGGAAGGCCCTGCCCCCAAGGAGCCTACATTCTAATAGGATAGGCAGATCTTACCCTGCAGTCAATTAAACTTATTTTTAAAAAATATTTTGGGGCCAGCTAGGTGGTGCAGTGGATAGAGCACCAGCCCTGAAGTCAGGAGGACCTGAGTTCAAATGTGGCCTCAGACCAAACACTTGACACTTACTAGCTGTGTGACTCTGGGCAAGTCACTTAACCCCAATTACCTAAAAAACAAAAAACAAACAAAAATATTTTGATAACTACATTTCAGTATCACTGACTTTCTTTGCAATTCTATTCTTGATTTTATGTTAGAAAAAGAGGGAAAAGCTGGGCCATGATCCAACATAAACCCTAGATTTAGGCACAGCAGATTTCAGAGTTCAGAGAAAGACTAGGACCTCACACCATAAGATTCTACAGCTGGCTCCAAGAGGGATGTAAGATCCCAATTCAAGAAAAAATTGAGGAAAGTAGAAAAGAAGGAATCATCTAAACAGGATATGGATGGACAGGGTCCTCATTAACCAATTCAGAATTAAAAAAAAAAATGTCGAGAAGGTGGAAGCAAGGAAAACTATCTCATGACATCTTTTTGGTCAATATATAGAGACATAGACTAGATGTTAGGTGGTTCAAAGCTGGATGAATGTACCCAAAGAGTAGTGATCAATAGAATTAAGCTCCCTGAGAATAGAGATTGTCTCACATTTGTGTAGTTCCCCCCTTCCCACTTAGCACAGTTCCTGGCACAAAGTAGGCTCTTAATTGATGTTTGTTGATTGATTACTGATTGACTGATATTATAACAGTGATTTCGATGGCTCTCATTTCTTGAAGGCCTGATGTGTTACATTTCATCTCTACAGCTGACAGCAACTTCCAACGTGGAATCCTGAATTCCAAGGTTACCTGAACTCTACCACTTGTGCTTAACACCTAAAAAAAGACTAATGAAACAGACCAAAATCTCAGGCTCAGTTCTTAGTGCTACAGGGTCTAAAAGGAAGAAAAGGGTGGGAAATAGCCCTTCTCCAAATACACACCCAGGCCGGTGTATGGTGTCTAAGATGTCTCAGGAGAACACCACTTTCACCGCCTCCCACCCCCACCAACACCCCAGACTGCCAGAAAAAAAAGAGAGCAAGAACTGTCCCAGTCAGACATTTTTTTTAAGGCAACTGGGGTTAAGTGACTTGCCCAGGGTCACACAGCTAGTAAGAGTCAAGTGTTTGGCCTGAGGCCAGATTTGAACTCAGGTCCTCCTTACTTCAGGGCCTGAGCTCTATCCACTGCTCCACCTACCTGCCTCTAATCCGATGGTTT